TTTAAATTAATTATAAATGAGCTTAGCTCGGTTTATTTTATAACCTTGAATATTTTGGCATTTTCCAATATATATATTGATTTCTTTTTATTAAATTGATTTTATGAATACAGGCTTTCTTTTGAAGAAATATTTTATATCATAAGTGTTTTTACTTCCGCTGCAATTTTTTACTATAAATTTTGTTTCCGAACTTCTAAGACTAAAAGTGCCTAGGGAGGTGTGTTATAGAAAGGCTAACTCCTTTGATATCCGCTATGCTTCATCCTATGGCTCCTTTATGTTCTCGCAACACATTTAAGAGTTTCTCCTCCTCAATTCCTGTCAAAGAAGTCAAAATTATTACAGGTAAGGTATTTGCATCACCCAAATAAACATACTTTAATTGAGAAGGAAAGGGTTTTAATTCAAGAGTAAGAGGCTCCTCTTTGGATGGCTTGACGCTCATAGTAGATAGTGCATCTAAGGATAGAAAATTCCCTTCTTTTTGTGGCTGCCTATAGCATTTTTCCCCAAGAATAGCTACTGCCTCCAAAATGTTATTGTCTGCACTATCAGCTTTCACATCTAAAGCATTAACAATGCAATTATCAATAGGATCATCTATTCTAGAAGCATTAAACTTTTCAGCAACTAAATTATCTACCACATCAATCCTTAAAACAGCACTTCCATCATGACCACAATTTTTCATAGCATCAAACACATTAAAAACAATCTCCTCGTCATGTATTCTAAGAATAAGTTTTCCTTGTTGAACATCAATAAGAGCTCTACTAGTAGCAAGGAATGGTCTCCCAAGAATTAAAAGCATTTCAAAATCCTCTTCCATGTCAAGAACAATAAAATCAACAGGGAAAATAAATTTATCAACTTTTACCAAAACATCATCTACCACTCCTCTTGGATATTTAATGCTCCTATCTGCCAATTGAAGAGAAACTGTGGTAGGTTAAGGTTCTCCTAATCCAAGTTTCCTAAAGACATGAAAAGGCATCAAATTAATACTAGCACCCAAATCACATAAAGCCTTATCAAAATTAACGTTGTCAATAATATAAGGTATAGAAAAACTCCCTAGATCCTTCAACTTAGGAGGTAACTTATTCTGAAGAATGGCAGAGCATTCTTCCTTTAACTTCACCATCTCGAACTCCTCTAACTTCCTTTTATTGGCAAGGATCTTCTTCAAAAATTTTGCATAGCTTGGCATCTGCGAAATAGCATCAATAAGGGGAATATTAATATGTAACTTTTTAAACACCTCTAAAAATTTAGAAAACTACTTGTCTAAATTAGCTTGCAAAAATCTTTGAGAAAAAGGGATTTTGGGCTTATAAGGCTTGACATTCGGATTATAAAAAAGTCTTTTAGGCTTATCCTCTTGCTTCGATTCACCAGCTTCCACACCTTCTTCTTTCCCATCAGATTGTTCTACCTCTTTAAGTTCTTTTCCACTCTTCAAAGTGATAGCCTTCAATTGTTGTACCTATGATTTTGATGATTACAAAACACATTTGAGTGACTAATTGGTTCATTTAAGTGTGTAGTTAAAATGTCAAAAGATTGCAAAATAAGTAAACTTGGACGGCACTTAAAAATGGACCAGAAAGGCTTGAATATCTGCAGAGAGCCGGCTCTTGAAAGCTGCAGGCGGCTCTAGTGAAATGGAAGTGCAGAGAGCCGGCTCTAGAAGTTGCAGCCGGCTCTACGGGCAAAAATTTGAAGACTATTGTTTGGCGCGCGTGGAGAAACGACGCAAAGCCGGCTCCAACTTTGCAGCCGGCTGTGAGGGAGCATTTAATGCACAACGGTCGAGTTATTTGAAGATTATTTAATGTGTTTAAAGTTGAAATCCCAAAGCCGGTTCTAGGCTTGCAGCCGGCTGTGGAAGAAAACAGAATGTGCAACAAACCCGCAAAGCCGACTTTGTGTTTTGCAGCCGACTCTACGGAAAAAACAGAATGTGCAGAATCCCGCAAAGCCGGCTGCAGAAATGGTGAGCCGGCTGTATAGAGCTGGTTCTAGGAACTTATGCCGGCTCTCCTGACAATCTTGCAACTCGGGCTTTGCGTCCTGCAGAGCATTTAATGACCCCCAACGGCTAGAAACGGCTATTTTCGAGAGCAAGGGGCTATAAATATGGTTGGTAACAGATCTGAAAAAGTTTAGAGAGCATTGTATTGAATATCTTTACCTACCTACATGAGCTTTAACTTGAGTTTTTGATCTTTGAGAAATCTTTATTTGTAATCCTCTTCTTGTTCTATTTGTGAGTTATCTTGGGGGTGTGATTAATCCTTCAAGAGTGATTTGTAGAGAGGATTCTTGGGGTTTACATTGTAAATGGGTGAGGTTTGAGAGAAATACTCATGTTCTTGTAAAAGGATTGAGTGGCTCCTTTAAGCCACCCTTGTTGTTGTTAGTGGAGAGTGTGGAGGAAATCCTTGGTGAGTGAAACCAAGGTAGAGGACTAGCCTCCAAGTGGTTGGACCGAACCTCTATAAATCATTGAGCAAGCTCTTCTTCTCTACTCTCTTTAATTTTGGTTTGGTGATTGCAAAAAAAGGAGAATTTTTGGAACTCCAATTCACCCCCCTTGGAGTACATTGAGTCAACATCAATTGCTCCCTTGGATTCTTTTCACTATTGCTTGGCAAACCCTCTTGAACTTTTCCAGAAAACATGTCAGCAATCTGTTCAAGTTGCATTTCTATATTTCGAATAGCAGCATCTTGATTTTGAACCTTATTTCCTTATTTTGAAACCGTGCTTCTGTACTACTAACAAATTTGTGCACCAACTCCTCTAAATTTGGTTTCTTTTCTTGTTGATTTTGCTGTTGAAAACCTGGTGGTACTCTAACTTGATTATTACTCCATGAAAAATTAGGATGGCTCCTCCATCCTGGATTGTAGGTATTGGAGTATGGATTAAAATTAGACCTACCACCAGAAGAAACAAAATTAGCTTGCTCATTAGAAGATTGAACTGAATTGCCTACTTGACATTCAACACTAGCATGTCCAAATTGCCCACACAGTTCACAGCAACTATTAGATGAAATACTCATTGCTGACACTCCTAAACTATCTAACTTTTTATTCAAAATAGAAATTTGAGCAGATAAGAAAGTAAAAGCATCAACATTATGTAAACCAACTCCCTTTTTGGTAGCTCTATCATTAGTCCATTGATAGCTATTAGAGGCCATTTCATCCAACAGCTTATAACCCTCCTCCATTGTCTTATTCATAAGACACCCCTACAGCTGCATCAATTATAGAACGATTAGGAGGAGTCATACTATTATAAAAAGTTTGTACTTAGAGCCAAACAAGTAAACCATGATTTGGACATTGCCTAAGAAATTCCTTAAATCTTTCCCATGCCTCATATAATGACTCATTATCAAATTGAACAAAAGTAGTAATGTCATTTCTCATCTTAGCTGTTTTCGAAGAAGGAAAAAATTTATATAAGAATTTTTCTACCAAAACATCCCAAATGGTAAAATGACCTGTAGGAAAAGATTTAAGCCAACTCTTGGCTTTATCACGCAAAGAGAATGGGAATAATGCAAGCCTAACAGCATCATTACTAACACCATTATACTTAAAAGTATCACAAATTTCAAGAAAATTAGTAATATGCAAATAAGGATTTTCAGGCAAACCACTGAATTGAACAGTTTGTTGGACCATTTGAACAGTTTGTTGGACCATTTGAATGATAGATGGTTTGATTTCAAAATTATTGGCTTGAATCGCTGGCCTCCTAATGCTGGATGCTATTCCTTCAATGGACGGGGTGGCATAGGAACCAAGAGTGCGTGCATTATTTTGTCCTTCGCCTTCTTCTGCCATGATGTTTTGCTTTTTCTCTCTTTAAAACTCCCTAAAAGTTCTCTCAATTTCAAGGTCAAATGGGGTAAGGTCACCATCACTACTACGGGTCATGCACTACCATCCTCGCAAAATAAAAAAATAAAAAAATAAGATAAATAAAGAATAAAAACGAAAAACAAATTAGACTATAAAATGTGCAAATCAACTACCTTGCTTAAAACAAAAAGAACCAACTAATCAAGTCTAGAAAAAGAAAAACAAAATTCAATCTAAGGCCAAATTATTAATCTTAATATGTAAATGACTAATCCCCGGCAACGGCGCCAAAAACTTGTTACACCAAATACACACTGCTTTTAGGCAAGTAAACCTAGTCGATTATGCAGTATAAGATGAGTAAGATATCGTTCCCTCGAGGACTATCCTACACTACCAAGACAATATTAATCTAACCTAAGTTGAATTAATGGGTAAAATTAAACTATTTAAAAGAAAACTACTTAAACTAAAAGAATTAAACTAAAGGAATTTTCTAAGTTAAGAAACTATGAATGGGAAGGAACTAGGACTTAGATTTCATTTAATTCTGAATTATGCAACTGTTTAATTAATTTAATTCAAGTTCAAATAATAGTGTTATCGCATGAGATGACGGATTTCCCTAAATTAATTAACCATCTTTCTCAAGTCAAGCTAATTCTTCATTTGTTTGCTAAATTAATCATATCTCTATGTAATTTTAAACAAACTAATGAGCATTAAATTCTATGGAAACCTTTAGCTTAAGAAGGAGGAGCTACTAACTCTTCTCTTCTTCCACTACCACATGTGAGCTAATTACCTCTCGGTCTCATAGTCTAACACACGGTTTATATTATTATTGGTCTAATTTATGCAATTCTTTCTCAAGTTTATGCATAAATCACTAATTCAATTGAAAGGTGATTAGGCTCTCAATGCATTAAGCTTAATAACATAAACTCATCATGCAAATAACTAATAAATCTTGAATTAACTAAGAAAAATAATCACATACTCCAATAATTAAAATCCATCCATCCCTAGTTCTAAGAAATCTAACCACACATATTTATGTTCTCAACAGCCATAAATAGGAAAACCCAGTAGAAAATCATGATAAAAATCAAGTATGAATCAACAAAACCTATCCCGATGGAAAGCAAGCTGAACTGCAATTTTGCGATGAGGAGTGGCGGCGTTGGCTTTTCTGTAAACAGATTTGTGCTCTTCCCTTGTGTGCTGCGAACAGATTTCGGTGTCTTCTCTTGTGCAGATGCAAACAGCTTTGGGTGGCTACCCGTGTCTTCTGCTTGTGAACAGCAAATTCGGCTCTCTCTATGTGTTGAGATTTAGGCAGCTGCATCCTTCCTTCTCAATGTGCAGAGCAATTTCGGGTACCTATCATCTCTCCTTCTTAGTGTGCTGAGCAGCATATATATATATATATATATATATAAAGAATTAGAAACCCTTATTTCTTCTTAGCCTTAGCAAACATAGGCTTTATTTTGGGCTTGGAATGCTGTCGGCCCACACCTTGGCAACACAGCCCACTTCATTTTATTTTCTGCAATTTGTCCACTGTTGAATCATGCAATTCAACTGAAAATCTGTATTGATACAAATAGAACTGGGTTGAGCTCATAAAAGATTAATTGTAGCTCTGCTTCTTAGCTTTCCAATGCCTCAAGAATCATCTCAATCCAATGCCTGAAGAAAAAGATATGGTTAAACTACTATAGCTTGTGCAAATTGTCACTTATTAAAAAATTAATTCCTATCTTAATTTTCACCTACAAACAATGAAATTAATGTAAACCAAGGTGAAACTAAGTTACAAAGGACCCATAAAATTAAATTCTAAGCTCAAAAAGGGTAGATAAATGCATATCAAAATTAAACTTATCTGCTAGAACCATTTTGCTTTTGATGTTAAGGCAAATTGATGTGTTACTAAAACGATGGTTTTGCTTATATTATTTTGGGAAGCCTTTTGAAAGGCACTTGCTCATATCTAATTTTTTATAAAGTGCTTTTTATGTACACAATAATCTATAAATGAATGAAAATGGCTTTAACCCTAGTTATGTCAAAACTTTGAGCACTTTAATATTTTTCTTAAGATACTTTTTGATAAATTAGTTTTTATTTATAGGTTGTTGATTTTCTTTTTATATAATTTTCAAATGACATGCAAACAAGTTCTTTTTCAAGGAAACATTTTATACTTTAGAAATGTTTTACTTTTGCTATATATATTTTTTAAAGTTCTTATTTAAGGACTTCTACGAGACTAAAGTAGTTAAGGGAGGTGTGCTACAAATTTCATCTAATAAAATTATTCTAAAATGACAATAAGAATACATAAAAAGTAAATATAACATTATTAACAATAATTAAGAATAAAAAAAAAATCTACAAGTCTACTTGATTGAAGAGCTTATATTGTTCAACCACATATATCCTTGTCAACTCTCTATGTGTGGGATAGTGTTCTCTTGTTCTATTAAAAGCTTTTGCATTATCACACCAATGATGGTCAAGTGGAAGAAACCAACAATGACGCATATAAAATATTTTGTGACCATTTTGTAGCCTTAATAAACCATGTCAGTATTTTAATTTGGACATGTATATTTACCTTTCACATTGTATCTCGACAATATAATAGGACTTACAAGCCCTAACAACATAGCAAAACTAGAAAGCTCACTGGTCATCCATATAAAAGCCACTCACACTTTAAAGTTAGATTTTGATGCCACATCATACTCTCAAAGGCCAAAGGTATGCATCAATGTCATTCCAAGAGCTTTAAAACAAAGAATAATCACAGACAACATGAGATATGGATCTTTCCGACCCATCCAAGGTGGTAGGTTATAATTCATTAAAAGAATTGGCCATATAATATAAAAAACGCTTAAATTTCCAAAAGAATTAAACTGCTACTAGCAAGCTTGAGTTGTATGTTATGCGAATTAATAGTAAAAGAATGATGCCAAGAGTTAAAACTTTTCTTTATGCCATCTCATTTCTGATGCTATTTTAGGTGACATGTATAGTCTCTTAATCCTATCCTTTAAAGGAAAATAACACAAAATCTTATATAAAAGTTGTTTATTTCTATCTTGTTCTCTACCATTTTTTCATCTACTAACACCACAAACATGGTATGATTGTTTATTTTCATATTTTCTATGATAAATGATGCAATCATTCACACAAGTATCTATTTTCTTATACTTTAATCCTAAATCTTCTAAAATCTTCTTTACTTCATAGTATGAGAAAGGGACCTTGCTATCTTCTAGAAAGACTTTTACCAGTAATTTTAAAATTACATCAATTTCTCTCCCACTTAACCCATAAAAAATTTTAATATTCATTACTTGCACAATAAAAGATAGTTGAGAGAAATTTTGATGATTAGGATATAGTTCATGCTCTACCTCTTTCAAAAGTATATAAAACTCACTAGCTTTCTTATTTGCATTACTTAACCTAACCTTAATAGGTTCATTTGATTTATCATTGACTTTATAAATACAACTAATATCATGTAGTGTTTCTTGTATTTCTCTAGATTTCCTCTAGATTTCCTCTAGATTCATACAAATCATAATCACCCCTCCACATTAGATTCATAAAATGAATCACCTTGATGATTGTAATAATCTGAATAATTTTCAAAATTTCTTACCATCACTATAATTAAGTAGGTTAAAATCTAATTATAAAAAGATATAATTTCAAATTTAAGAAATTATAATTTATTCAAAACCCAAATCTAATTAAATTAAAGTTATGTAAGAATTAAATTAGGTTTAATAATAATCAAACTGTTTAATTCAAGATTATTCATTTCTCTACTAAATAATAGCAATGAATGACACTCTAAGTTAACTGCTCAACTACTATTTCTTCTCTTAAAAAATTAACTTGTTTTCACACAATAGTCAACTCTTCCCAAATCCAGTTGCCTTCCTCTGTTGTTGTTCATTCTTAAGATTCTAAAGGTATGCACACTCAATTCTTGTGCATTTTCATAGGTTATTACATTAAAACCCCATTTTGAAATCTTTAGATGTCACGCCCCAAACCGAGAGCGAAACAGATGCCGTGCACTCGTGAGCGGGGCCCACAAATGCACAAGGCTCAAGACCTATTGAGTTCTTACTTAGCAATTTAGGTAATTCAGATCTAAGCCTTTTTACTTTACCAAATAGTTACCAGCGAATGTACAAAATTTATCACTTTATATATACAATCATGACTAACACTAAATCCTGTACACAAAAGTCCTAAATCCGCATGGGTGACTAACGGCCTAGCTACAGAACTAACTCCAAAAATGCCTGGCCGTCTAGCTCGTCACTCTCCCGGGCTTCCCACGCGTCGGGTCTCACTACCTGAAATGGTGGACAAGGAAACCGTGAGACAAAAATATCTCAGTAAGTAAACATGGGGGCCCGACATCAAGTATAAAGCATGCCAAATAATCGGTTGAAACATGAACAGAGCATTTCAAGAATAGAGTGTTTCAAGAACAAAGTGTTTCAATAACAAATCATTAATGCAAGTAAAATCACGTAGTGGTCTCCTCTATTAGTCATGGCCAGTTCCCACTGGTAGGCAAACAAGTTACTAGTGTATAATCCCCACTAGTAGGGCCACGAGCGAACCGGTCCTATCACGAACATGTCAACATGTGCTAGCGTTTGTAACCTCCCCCACTAGCGGGGTCACGA